GGGGGGGAGTAGAAAGGCCAAAGAGCTGGGAGGAGAGATCACGGCAGGCCATTATGGAGTCAGACGTGCTCTTTGTGACTCCAAACCCCCTTCCCAGTCTTACCCCCCATCCCACTGTCCCCCCCCTGTGTACACGCTAATGCCCTCAGTGCCTTTCTCCATACCCTGCTCAAGAGCAGGAGCAGTTATCCGCCAGCAAAAACTATTTACTTGTTTGTTTTATTTCCCAAACATCTGCTGGGAATGTGGCTCTTCATAGGGAATAAATGCCCTTGTGTTCCACACGCGCTGGAGCGACACAGTAATTGCTAAAGACGTTGACAGCTAAAGCGGCTCACGGCCTTATTAGGACGCTTTATTTATGTTCCAGCGTGGAAAGAAATAGTAGAAAAATGTGGCGCGGCGGCCCCACTGTTAGAGGAACGGGCCCCTTTGATGTGGGACCACAAACTTTGTTCTCGACCGACGCGCCAATGTTCTGACTGTAGATTCTCAAACACACCTTTATGTAGGACCCAGGTCACACCATGCAAATTTGTAGATCCCTCCCCCCCAGCCTGTGAGTTCAAGTTCACATCAGGAATTAGTGTGTTATTCTGTATTTCATGGGGTAAGTAAAATAAAATGGTGAATTGTTTAATAGGAGTTGATTCTACCTTAAATTTGGTAAATATTTCTCTTTATGGGTTTTGTTTTCGTGCATTGATTTAAAAGACCAAATAATCTCTAGGAAAGTTGGAACCTACGGGCTTTTCAGAATAAACCAAACAGCATCGTCTGCCAGGTAGCAAGTCAAATAAATAAATCATGGACGGTGTTTTTTTTCCGTTAATTTTTCTTTCCAAATTCTGATTGCTATTTTGATAATGTTAGGAAATACAGTCATGAAGAATGTTTACACATTTGTCGGTGCCGTACCTGTTAGAATATGCCGTTAATTGAATTCATCTTGAGAGTGGATTTCCCAGGTTGTCCTCATAGGAGATACGGGTCATTTTCTCTAAGCTTTGCACAAAGCTGTTTGTCCTATCTTGACTGCTTCTCTTTGCACACTTCAAATTAAATGTGGCATCTTAAAGTGCCTTTGATTTCCATGTCAGATTATTTTTTGATGGGGCCTTTTTGTCCAAACCGCACTTTGGTTTGATCATCAAAAAGAAGTTTTGAGGAAACCCTTAACCTCTGAACTCTCGGTTGCGGCTGGAGCCCGTACTGCATTAAGCAGAACTCCCTTCGTCTGTCTGAAATCATTGGACAGGGAACAGATAAACAATAGTACAGCTGGCTGATGTTCTCAGCAAGATGGGTGAGAGATAAATGCTTGTGCCATCTCTTCCGAGAGGAAGTTCAAGCTCACTCTGAAATACTGATTCAATTTGAAAATGTCGATTAAAGTAATTTATTCATAAAGCACTTTATCAGTACCGTTTACTACAATATTTATTTGCACAGTACAAATGCTCCCCAGGTTATGATGATCCATGTTACAATATTTTGACTTCACGATGGATATGATTATTCAAAAAAATTTACATGAGATATTCAACACTTTATTATAAAATAAGCTTTGTGCTAATGATTTTGCCCAGCTTAATGTAAGTATTCTAAGCATATTTAATGTAGGCTAGGCTATGATGTTTGTTAGGTTAGGTGTACAGTATTAAAATTCATTTTTATCTTATGATATTTTCCCCTTACGATTGGTTTATTGGAACATAACCCCATGGTAACCTGGGGAGCATCTGTATTCATATATCTGTATGATATTTATGAGCTATTTAGTGCAGTAAATAGTGATATCTATCATAACCACAAAGAATAAAAGTATTTGAACCATCAAAAATAATTTATGATCATAGTCATAGACGCAGGACTACACTTTAAAAAATGACAGTTGCAATTAAGAACTATTGCACACAATAATAAATGTTACTTTTGTATTGTATGACATGGAAAAGTTTGGGGCATGGTTGATTGCTCTTTCAGTGCACTCCATTGATATTATGTAAATCTAATAGTTTTTGTCGTCTGTCCATCCCATCTTGTACCCATAACACCACATAAAACAAAAGTATGTGAATAGTACAGAGGAGCCAAACTGGAAGATTGCTAAAATAGCTTGATGGTACCACATGGGGAATATCTGTGATCCAATGTTTTTTTTAACAGAGCTTCTGGGAGCAGTAAAGAAACTCATTAAAACAAATCTATGATTCTGACCTGAGCTCCAGACCTCCAGACTAAATTATACCTCCCTCCACCTTAGGCTTCTTCCTGTGTTTCATTGTTACGTTTGTTCCCACCTTGCCAACAAATTCTGAGATGGTTCTGGGCCCATCTCAGCCATCCGCCTCCTTTTATAGTTCTGCCGAGTAAGATGACACTCTCTGACAATTTGCCAAGCTTTCTCTTATATATCTGCTCGCCAACTGCACATCTGCGGCATGGCATGTCGGGATTGTGTCTGCCCTCCACAAACAAGGGGGGCTGATGGGGAATGTTCACCCCCCGGCCCAATAGTTTGACAGACAGCAGAGGATGAAAGCCCAGACCCCTCTGCTCCAAGACAGTGGGATTCATTTTGCCCTGCAATAGGCATTAAAGAACAAGCAGCCTAAATCCAAGCACTGTGGATAGAGCATGAGGCATGAGGGGTGGTCTCCATGATTGTCAGTTGCCACAGGTTTACCCTGCAGCTGGTTTTTCAAATGCTATGTGAGGGTTATGGGGTTGGACCTTCTAACCTACTCCCTGCACCAGTAGGCCGTGTCCATGACTTTGCCATGTTGGTCAACATTGTCTGCATTAGTGTTTCCCCTCACATACATAGTAATGTCTAGGATAATATCAGAGGATAATTAGCACATGGTCTTTTAATTGGATCCTGGCTTGCACAGAGACAGATCGAAGAGGTGGCCAGGATTGGCCATGCCCTCCCTCCCCAGTAAATACATGAACATCCCAGTTGCCGTTCCTCACCAAAGAACAAAAACCAAATATGGAGCATTTAATACTGTAAACCAGCGCTGCCCAACTCATCAGTCAGTCGATCATGACTTGTCTCCAACTTGATTGCGAATAATGAATAATGCTCACGTCTGGCAGAATACTACCCCAGTGCGACCCCAGGAAACTCACTGGGTCTAGTCTGGCCACCATATTGTACAGGACCTGGCTCTGGCCCTGGACTTGTAAAGGAAACATGGTGCATTGTCTCATTCTGTCTCGAAACAATGTTTTCTCCTCTGAATGGCTTCTTATGTCTTTGCTTTGTTGAGTTATGGATGACCTAGTGCTGAAGTCAGGGGAGACGTCGGCATCGGTCCCTACCTGCACACGGGCCTCAGTCAGGTCCGTGCGGAGCGCCAGCTGCTCGCGGGCATACACATCCGGGTAGTGCGTCTTCTGGAACACTTTCTCCAGCTCTTCAAGCTGGTAGCTGGTGAACGTGGTCCGGTTGCGTCTCTTCTTGCCCTTGTTGCTCTCGCCCTCGCCCTTGTCTAGAGGCCCAGTCAATTCGGGTCCTGGCCGATCGGCAGGGCCCTTGGCTCCAGGCTCCTTCACACTGAGGTAGCTGCCATCCATACCTGCAGGATCAGCATTCGGGGGCAACTCGGAGTCTGTCAGTCCAGTGCCGTCTTTGGCTAGAAAGAGAGAGATGAGAAGACATTAGAACACGGTCAGTAATATATTTACTCTAACTGACCTTCTACAGAGTCAAGATTCTCTCCAGTACATTTTGGTATCTAAAAACCTTCCTGATACGGAAGCATCATTCCCAAAACGCTGCAAAGTGAGTTAAAACAATTCACATGATATTGAAACATTGATGCAGGAAGAAGCACTGGAATACACAGTGAGGGTGAATTTACTCCATATAAGTTCCCTTTCTTCTGTGCTTTACCACAGGTTTTGCATATATTTCATAATGGATTAAATTTTTCCAAAAAGGAAGTGCTCTTTCTTTTCCCATTTTGGATTTTCTATAAGCCTTTAAACACCCCTGTCTTTTTGATGGAAAAAAATGAGTGGAGTGAGGGAAAGAGTGTTAGTTCTTATGCGAAAGTTTGTGTTTTTAAAGCCCTGGTGTTGAGTGCAGCGAACAGGGATAGTTTAGCTCTCAGGGGGCAGTTGTGCCCAGGGAGATCAGACATGTTGTGCGCCAGGTGTAGCTCAAACTGAAGCACCATGAATACATATGACCTGGGTGTATTGGTTCGCACTAAACTACTGAAAGTGCAAATATTCATATCCGCATGAGTCCAGACTCATTCATCCTGTGAATTATGGCCTAATCCTCCTTTCTTCGCTCGTGTCATTTTATTCACGGTATCATTCCTTGCAGTATTTAAACTGGGAGGAAACACATCTTGGTGAAAATCCTTCCCCGCTCAAATTGCTCCACTGGGAAGCCACTTGGCTTAAATGTGGAAGAAGCAGAGAGAATTCAGAGAGCAGAGTATCCACCTGAGGAAAAGCCTGCAGGTCGTTACTCTCTGTAGCTAATCGCTCTTTGGCTCAGACTGACCCACTGCAATTATCCCACACTTTTATAAATAATGACACAGAGTTGAAACTTGCACAGCTAGTATAACTCTCCTACTAAAGACAGAGTGACCTCCAGATGTTCTCCAGAAAAACATTTATCCGACACGTTCCTAAAGATTAATGCTTGCATATCTAATGGTGTCAGACTTCCAGACTTCTGTTAATCAGCATGGTAATGCATGATGTATTAAATCTCAGTTTAGTTGTTTTAGGACAATTTCATGTAAAGTACTGTCCATACACTTTGTAAAGTTTGGTAAGCCCTATTGTTAAGTTAGTTGGCTAGTGCCCACAGACCTTGTTGCTACATACTGCAATGATGTCTAACCATGTGACGCTCCGTCCTTGTTTCCTGTCTAACCCTGTTTGCCCCTGAGGGATGCCCCGTTTACTGACAGCCAGCCTCCGGCCTCAAACTAAGCAAACAGCCGCCCCGCAGCCTAATTGTAGACCATCAGAAAATGACAGACTCTTCCAGGTCTCCCAGGGATTTTCCTGTCATGACGACAATCATGTGCCTTCTTGTCCGAGGACCAGTGACCACCAACCCCCACAGGGGCTCTCTCTTGCCTAATAACACAAGCCTGTGGTACACCATACAACCTTGCACTCATCTCCAACATTATAGAACAGTACAGGAACAAGAGGCCTAAGCGATAATTTTGTGTGCTGCTCCCTGGAAATATGCATTGGGCATTATGCATAAATCTGCATAAACTATTTGTGGTAAATGTCACTTTTCCTGTCCTGTTTGTCTTTGCCGAACTGTTCTTGGCAGCGGTGATGTCTGTATCTGTCAGCCTGAGGTCCGGACATAAAACTTTCTTATTGTTGTCAACAGGTTCTCCATTTTGGAATGTTCTAGAGATGACAAATAGGTCTACTGTGGCCGGTATGATGTCATGCCGTCTCAGAGTCCTGAAGTACGATATCCAAATCCTCATAGACTGGTCATACCAAAAACCCACCCTAAATGCTCTGGTCCAGCATTTCAGCAGCCTGGATACATGCTTTGGGGAGGTGCTGAGATTATGATAATTCCTCAATTGAGGTTCAAAAAATAATCTGACATTCCTCAATTGAGGTTCAGGCAAACCCTTTCCAATTAGCTGGATGGGGGCAGCAGCTCCCAAAAACAGCACCCTAACATTTAGGCAACCCTGTGATGATGTCATGATGATGTGACCCTCCCCTCATTCCAAGAACCATGCTGCTATTTGCTAAACACTCGCCACATGGGCCATAGTTGACCAATGAGCATAACCTCATGAGCATAAAAAAGCTCAGAATATGTATGGGAAGCTCAAGGTTTGTTGTAAGGACCCATTCAGCCCCAAACCCCCTATCCCTGAGACACATGGTACTCCCACCATATTGGTCGGGACTGTCCCTACCGTCCGCACCCAAATCTCAGTCCGGGGGCAGCCTCTCATCCCCCTCAACAGGGCAGTATTTCATGTCACCTCTGATTTTGATCCCTCCTACTCTGTCACAGTAATTTCTCTGTTTCCGATATAATGAGCTTAATAATGGAAGCAGGATATGCAGAATGTTCTTGTTCTATAAGCAGACTTCCTCAATAATAAATAAATGAATAAGCCCAACGTCCTGGTTTTGAGCCTTGCCGCGAGGCGAGCGCCGTCCGTGTTTCTGTTTGCCTTCTTTGGACCCTGAACGCTAAGTCCCCTTGGAGACGAAGCTGAGGCCGGGCTGTATAATGGTTCCCACATTGCCTCTTGCCTGGACCTGACACATCCTGTTAAGCATGAGCAAGCAAGCACATGCGCCCAAACGTAAATATTTTGGAGTTGTTCCTTCAAATGCCTCGAGCCTGTTGCCTCCACATGGGAAGCCTGTCAGGCCGCTTGAGATCCGGGCCCCAGGGCAGATCAAAAGCTCTTGTTTATGCCCCACATCAATGATCATTTTTGGCAGAGGTAGGCTGTTGTGACAGTCTCCACCATTTGTTCATGCGACCAGCCCTGACTGAGAAGTCTGCTCAGCACTGTGGTCCTGATTAATAATTGGGTCTGCATGCTGGGGAAGCTTCAACATGGACCCCACCTTGGGTCAGGGCTGGGGAAGAGCCAGATAGATTAAACCAGGCATCTTCACATAAGCTCCTCCCAGCGCAAGGTACAGTAACTGGACTGACACCTTCACCATTTTGCTAGAACACTTGCCCGCTATATGCACTTTCATGTTCCACTTCTTAAAAATCAGTATTCATCCCTTCTTTGTGCCTCATTTCTACCTGAATCAGGTAAGAAAGGCAGATGGGTGCCTCTGCCGCAGAGGTCAGTGACAGTTTTCTCTGTCCACGCCACTGTTGCCTGCCTGCTGTTGCTTCACACACCAGCTCTGTCCTCCAGTGTCTTTTTTTCTAAGTGACCACAGTTTGGGAGCCTGACCAAAATTGCCTAATCCTCCCTTTGCATTTGGCCAAATCAAAATTTGTTTTTGTCCTGTCAAGACCATTGTTTTATTTCCATTTCCATGTCCAGCTCTGTCCCCTCCGGTCTGGACACCAAGCGGTCCCTGTTTTTACTCCATACCCGAAGCCTGCGTGTTTTCCTCTTTGCTGGGATTGACCAGGGATTCCTGCTAAGACTCTTGGAAGCATATGGCAAAACTCTCCAAACCCAAAAGTAACAAAACTCTTGTGATATCTGGGTGTTTTTCATTTTGGTGAATCTGCTCTACAGCGTTTTGAAACAGAACCATTTCACATTTCTGACTCACGAGCCAAGATTCCATAACATCACTTCCAATCATCACGCTTGTGGAAAAGGAGGAAATCTGGACTCGATTTCCTTTCTTTCTCTTCCTCTACACCTTAAGAGGCCTAAATGGTCTGTAATGATGCAATTGCTTTGAACTGAGAGCGAGGAAGGAGCCAGAAAAATTCCACCGATATGCCGGTATTTGATTAGACTGCACAACAGAGTTGCTCGCCTTGCTGACAGGCAGGATGCACCTTCAGCAGACGAATCGGGTTCATGAGCAGGTGAGAAAGGGGTGAACTGGGAAGCTAATTGGCAGTTTAACCTGCTTTCACACCCGTTTGTAAAGCAGGAGCACAGCTTGTAAAGTAGCTTTAACTGCGTCCCAGTTTTTTTTACTTTCCAACCCAAATTAGTTCTTTCAAAGGTCCTTCATGAAGGTGTCTGCATGTTCTCACATGAGTATACAAGATTCTCACAGATTCAGCACCATAAGCAGAAATAGTCTGCCTAATGTCTTAGAAAATGTCATTAGGCTTCCATATGGCACTGAGAGAACCTTTCTAGACATCTACATTTAGAAATAATCTTTTCTCTCATGTTTTAATGTAATTAAATTATAAATCACAGGATGACTACCATATAAGCCCAAACAAAATTTCCCCAACATAGACTATACATCTTTAGAATTCCTTTTTTGATTAATACATGTATTGGGTATCCTCGTGGGTAGATGAAAGTATTAAATGAATGAATGAATGAAAGAAATATTTAATGAATGAATGAAATATTGAATGAATGAATGATTCAGAGGCCGCTATGGCCCACAGTTTTCTCTGTGCAGAGCGGAGTTGGAGTGGCAGTAGGGGAATCAGTGTTCTCAGCCTCTGCCGTGTCAACACCAGGCCCCTTGAGTTAGCAAGGGTCAGATGTTTACTAGGGGCAGCCATTTACTTGCTGTCGAAAACAGGGGAAAACATCAAAGTGTAATTTAACTGGCTATAAAGTGGCAGGGTGTCCCTTCTGCTTTTCCATGGAATGTCACAGAGAAGGTCAGGCAGAGGCAAATAAAAGGAACCCTGTGAATTAGACACCAAGGAGACCCCATAAAGAGTTAATGACCATATATTCCCAAGGAAGAAAATTGACTGGGATAGTTACATAACCTGTTACTCACATATTCCATATGTCTTAGTGATTTGATTAGAAGCAGAGAGCAGGAAAGAAATATCATGCTGCTTTTGCTGCAAAATGTGCTGTTTATTCGTATCTGGAATCTGATTGTTCTCTGTACTCAAATGGAAGGGGACTGGGGAGTCCCGAGAGAATGAAGGCACACAGACGGGCGTGTACACGGGTCAGATCGGTATGGG